CAAAAATACGCTGAAAAAATACAATTAAAAATTTCTGCTTATCGTAAAATTATCAACTCTGGAGCTCCGATCTATATATTTCTTGTATAGTTGATTTTTAAATTTACAAAGGGAAGTGAGACCCCTAGTGGCACTGTCTTGAACTTGTGTTTTCTCGAGCCATATACCCACTTCATTCATTTCTTTTTTTTTTTTACCAATTTGGTGAAAAAGCGCAATCCATGACTTCATCAGCCCAAATCAGTCGATCTGCAAGCTTATACACCCCCTCTTCCCAAATTGTTTGCCTTAATGGATTCATGCGCTATTTTATTTGGACTCGGGAGTACCTCAGCCAAGAAATAAGAGGATTGGTAGTAGGCTAAAACTGTCGCCGACTTCTCATTAGTAGAAATGAGATTTTTTATCTAACTTCAATGATCGCTGACCATCCCGGAAATCTGGCAAGCGTCAGAAAAATTTCCGGCTGACTCATTGTGTTGTGTTCTTGGGCAAGACAAGTTGTCCACACGGTGCTTTTCTACCCGGGATGTAGAGTATAAATGAGGCGGTGTATAGATAAGCTGCTATGAACAAGCATTGCATCCGGAAAGGAGGAAGAGGTGGCAGAAATGGCCACTTGACTCTTAAGACTCTTCAGAAGCCACCATATCATCAGGGGTCATCATCAGGTGGCTCTAAGAGGAGAGGGGTTTTTGGGTGACCTTTAACCATCCTCCCCTTACTTAGCGAGTTAATCTTTTTGTTAAGTCAACAAAATACAGACCTTATTATGAAGAATTGTGCTAAGTGCGTGGATCCGAATAATCTTTACATCATAAATCGCTTTTAGTCCTTAATACTGCACTTGACGGTATTTTTTTCGCTGTGCTAAGATTCGTTACCGTGATCACACCCTCCTCCCTTTAAGAAATTGTACGTATGCTCCTGGACACTTTTATTTTGGGGCTTGACATTATCAAGTACAATTTAATTGTAGATTATAACCCCGGATGCAAAACCATTCCAGTGGATAAGCGAAGCAACTAGCGACTTAGAATTTGTAAGCACAAGGTCAATGATTTTGTTGGTGGTGTTTATAGTCTTTTGAAAAACTCAAAATAGTTTAACGGGGAAGAAGTTTCCATCAATTTTTCCATAAGTGGCTAACGATGGTGTCATTAGCGACTGAGTTGAAAGGCGAAACTCAAACACCAGAGCCTCTTAAAGGCTAAACAGACGACGGTGAAAGGTGTTACGGTCAGCGGTAGACCTCTCGTAACAGGCTTTTATCGAAAACCCTGACGAGCATCTTTACAGTCTCATTTATTCCATAATTTCAGATGGGTTATAGCATGGTTCCAGTCCAAATGAGATTCCTGAGACTTCTAAGCAGGCTTGTGTCTCAAAATATTACCTATCTTTGTTACAACTCACGCGCTTGGGAAGATGACGGAGGTCGAATGATTAAGCTGCAAGGTGAAAATGAAATGGAGCTTACGGGTAACGACCGCACTAAGCCTGTTGTCGTGAAGAATGGATGAAAGATAATAACGAATAAGACATACAATATTTTTGAAATGATTTTCGACAACAGCCACCTATTTGGATTTCGTCTTTCATCCTAGAGATTTTGATAGTTCCCTTACTAGACAAAGATGTTAGTCGTCTTGTCGCGGGCGTGAAACAATGAAAAACTCTAAATGACTGAAATAAGATATGACTAACCTAATGACTGACGGACTGACTTATTGACTGACGTATTGATTGACTAACTGACTAAATAAATCTATGAATTTTTGAATGACTCTTTGACTAGCTGACTGACTGTCTGACGGATAAAATAATTCTGGACTGATGTGACTGTGTGAGTATCTGAGCGACCGCCTAACTGATTGAATAACTAACTGACCAACCAATTGATAAAATGATTAATCTATCGATCGACCGATGGATTGACTAATCCATTGACTTAACGTTACTAAATTAAGATTTCTCCAAATCATATTCAACAGGAAATAAACGATGAATTGCATCAAACAATTTTAGAGATCAACACAGCTGATAAGGAGGCATTACCAATCATTGACATGGCTCTATTTGACATGGCCAATTCTGAAAAGCCGAAAGAGTTTTTACTAGAGCTTAGCCCTGTTTGTTTTTATCACTAATTCTGCAATTATAGAATTGGAAAATAAACTCTTAGTTTTTACAGAGCTTGTTCAAGACGCGCAGGGTCCTAAAACGTAGAAGACGTCCATATGTAGTCAGTAGCTTATACTATTAATGAACTAAACAATTGAACGAATGAATAAAAATCAGTTTCCAATATACAGATTACATCTACAAGCGTCGAAATGTGTTCTATTTATTCAAGAATTGAAATATCGAATGGTAGAAAACTAAGTCTCCCTTGAATCCAACACACCCTTTAAATATCGTGCAGTCTTAAAAACCTTCCAAAACACGGAAATGCACGAGGTGTTAATCGCCAAATCGATAAATATAACATAAAATCATTTTTCGTATTTTAAATACACTGATGTCAGTTTTATTTATTTATGTCAATAATCTCAGTATTTTCAAAAACAATACTAAAAAATTTACTCTGTTATCGTTTGATCATTCAATGTAGGTAATTTTGATTTTTTATATCTTGCTTTTTGGCCAGGGTTTTGCGGTGAATGAAATTAACCCTTCTTATTATTTGATGTGTTTTTTTTATATATCTATACTGTTCCTTTTTTTGAATGAATGAATCATCAAACTGACTTTCATTCCCTTTCCTTTACATACTATTACTGAGGCGAACAATGTTCGTTGAGCTTGGTTTTCACGGACGATTGGCGATCTCACAGTTCCTCGAACGTCTCAGAGTTTTCCGACGATTGAAAAAATCAAAGACATCCCCCATTGCCTGGGATGGTCAGCGACTTCTCCGCAGACTTGGGAGTATTTCTTACTCTCACGCCGAGGGAACAACTCACTTACATCGAGGATCGAAACGCGTCATTCACGGCTGAAGAAAAACCCAACCAATCACGGTGGAGCATCCTGCTTTATAAGAAGATCCGAAACCAGTCGACCTCATCGTCTAATGAAGACTAGCAGTGTACAGTCGAAACGTCACGAGTCACATTATAAGTGACCACATCGTGAGACAAACGATAATACTCTATTATTATTCATGCGAGTTGCTTCGCGTGTAAACAGTTCAGCCGATCGATTTCAGACGCACACGGAAGGAGAATTTTTCCACTTGTTGGGATTTCGAGTTTGGGAAAATGACCAAGCCCTTGTATTTCTCAGTTAGCTCTGAGTCTGCAAGTAATCATGACTGTCGCACTTGTTTACCATGTGCGTGTGTGGGTAATTTCGTATTTCCTCAGTGACCTTAGCAATGTTATCAGAAATTTACCGCGGGTTAGGACAAGTATCTTGGCAGCAATGAATCTCTTGGTATGAAAAACTCTTTGAGTAAATAACCGACTTCATCATTTTATTACAAATATCTCTCTCCGCTCTGCT